GTCCGTTCCCTCAGCGAGGCGCCGGCTGCACGGGCCGCAGCCCCACATGAAGCTCTGCCGCCGGGCGCCGTGCAGACCACGCACAGCCTGTCGTCGAAGGGGCGCCGCAGGGCTGCAACATGAGGGAGATCGCCGGGGCGGGACGGCGGGGAACGCGCGCACGCTGAGCCGCAGTCCGCGCCCGGCCCGCGGCTACATGGACCCCGGCGGCCGGGCGGCTCAGCAACTCCAGCCCGGGCGCTTTAGAGAGACGGCAGGCGGCGCGCCACCAGAAAGACCCCGCATGGGCCGGCGAGCCTTCAAAAGTTGCGCGGCTGGTCCATGAGCACAAAGCGCTCGCGCCGAACCCCTCAAATGTGTCTAGGAAGCCCTGCCTTTAAAACCCAGGCGCTTCACTACATGGGCTTCTCCTGCAGGATCCGAAAGGCAGGCTTGTTGATACCCTTGGCTTCCTTCTTACTCTCTGCAAAAAGAAAAAAAAAAAGAAAGCAAGAAAAAGAAACCCAAAACTAAACCAAAATCCCTGGAATTGCATGCACGAAAGGCCAACTCCTTCTCAGGTCCCAGGCGCTAGATGCACTTGGAGCGAATTTCTCCTGATCGCGGGTGTCAACACATGAGTGGAAACTGTAAAAATCCCAAAGAGCTGCTGGGAATCCTTAATTAAAAATGCAATCCACCGAGGCAGAGGTCGCAGCCCGAGGACGCCCCGGACGCTGCGGCTGCAGAGGTCGCCCCCCTCCCCCCTCCACAAAAAGTGCCTCCTGGTGGCCCCGCGGTCCCTGCGAGGTCTGGCGAGGCAGCGCCCGGCGGCTCTTTCTCTCGGCTCGGCTCCCTCGCTCGCTCCCCCGCTCTGCTCTCTCTCTCTTTTTTGTTCTCCTCAAACGCACACTGAGGGCCCCCGGAGGAGCGCCGCGGAGTCATTGGCTGCCTCCCATCATATGCCAGTCTAGACACTTTGGCGGCTCCGCGGCGCTGATTGTTGCGCAAACAAGGTTTCAAGTTTCTTAACTCTTAAAGGAGAACA